AGAGACTTTAAGTCCAGAGTGAGGGAGTCCTGGCCAAACTGACTCCAGAAGAACCAAGAAACGGAGCATAGTGGACATGAAAGAAGCCAAGAAGAGTCAGAGAACTGCCTCCAAGACACAATCTGAGCCAGACAATTTGGTTTTTCCACCCACCACTCCCACCCCACACTAGAACATCCATGTAAGCTGACACTAATGTTCACACATACACACACATATGCACACACACACACAATCTAATCCTGCTGCTTATTTATTTATTATTTACTTATTTATTTGTGTATGTATGTTGGCATGCTTGTGCCGCAGTGTGCACATGAAGGTCAGAGGGCAAATTGAGGGAGTTGGTTCTCTCTTTCAGCCATATAGGTTCTGGGGATAAAACCTGTCAGCAAGCACCTTTACCCATGGAGCCATTTCTCTGCCTCTAATCCTGCTTTATAGAAACAAAACTTCTGAATAAATTCAGCCATTCAAATCAGTACCGATTAAAAGAATAATCTTCCATTAGCAAGAGGGGTTGACCAAGGAATAAGATTCATTATTTAAATCTATTAACTTAACAACATTAATTTTATTTTTAAAAAGTTCTAACAATTTAAATAGCTATTGAAATGGATTGAATTCAATCTCAAAAAGTAAGTCTATAGTTAGTGTTGGCAATGGCAACAGTGATTTTGAGACGACTTTAAGTCTAGAGTGAGGGAGTCCCGCCCAAACTGACTCCAGAAGGACCAGCAATTCAATAACAATGTTATTGGAATTAGCACTATCTTCTGGTTGACATGTCCAAAACTAACAAGATCCAAGGCACACAAACTAAAGATAATCAGAATGAATAAAATGATCTAGTTAAATATTAAATATTATGTAAGGCATAATTATAAACATAATAGAGTTAATCATAAATTTATAGAAAGTTACCATCTTTTCTCCATATCACTAAGAACTTGCAAAAATATATTGAAATAGTCACCAACTGAGATAGTAACAGCAAAGATATTATACAGATAATAGCAATGGATAGCATCTAATAAATATGCGAAACCTGTCAAAATTTTCTGGATTATGAATAACAGTATATGAAACACCATATTTGTTGTACTATTGTCTAGTAATCATGGAAATTACTATTTATTGAGTACGTACTACCAGTGTTAAGGGCCACAAGCAACCACATTGCAGGGACACAGAAGTAGCCTTCAGTGGAATTCAAATATTAAGAAACTTAAGAAGCCCAGCCAAAAGCAAGCAGGGATTAAGATATTCCAGGAAGTATTGTGAGTGATTTTAGAAGAAGATTCTCAGGCTCCAATGGCTCCTTCAGATGACAGACACTTGACCATCAACTTGTGGTCATGAGGAATACTAGCTGGAGCCACCTAGCCATCCTCTTCCAAAATGGCTGAAATTCTAAGAGTAGAAATGCTTTTTTCTTTCTTTCTTTTTTTTTAATATACCAGGTTCTGAGATAATTTGTTATGCAGTAATATACAACTAATACAACTACACCATAGGGATATATGGACAGCAGGAAGTCAAGATAAGAAGACTAAAACTATTCGAACAACCTGAGAGGAAAATGCTAAAGACTAGCCTCATAAGAGGGAAGAAAAAGGAGCCAGATGCAGGAGAAGCAGAACAGAGTCTCCTCAGAGGAACTGTCACTCCCAGAAGGTGATTACGAAGCATGAGGAACTAACTATACAATTTTAAGTCCCAGTCAAACTAGGGTCCTGAACTGCTGTTCAGTTCTGGAAGTTGTCTCCTGTGCCAATGAGTTCAAGGCTCTTCCCCACTTTTGCTTCTAACAGGTTTATTGTGTCTGGTTTTATGTTGAGGTCTTTGATCCACTTGGACTTTAATTTTGTGCAGGGTGATAAATATGGATCTATTTGCATTTTTCTATATGTAAACATCCAATTGGACCAGCACCATTTGTTGAAGATGCTGTTTTTTCCATTGTATGGTTTTGGCTTCTTTGTCAAAAATCAAATATCTGTAGGTGTGTCCCCTGAAAGACTCTACCCACTAGAGGATAGAAGCAGATGCTGAGATTCACAGCCAAACTTTGGGCAGAGCACAGAGAGTCTTATGGAAGATTGGGGGGTGCGGGGGGTGGAGAGATAAAAGATCCACAAGACCAACAGATCCAACAAATCTGTGCCCAGGGGAGCCTGCAGAGACTGATGCACCAACCAAGGACCATGCATGGAGAGGACTTAGACCCCCTGCTCAGATGAAGCACATAGGCAGCTCAGCCTCCGTGTGGGTTTCCTAGTAAGGGGAGCAGGGGCTGCTCTGACATGGATTTTTTGCCTACTCTTCGGATCACGTACCCCTGGCAGGCCACAGAACAAGAGAATGTGGCCAGTCCTGATAAGACTTGATAGGCTAGGGTCTGTTGGTAGGGGAGGAAGGCTCCCCCTTTCTGAGGACTAGAAGAGGAGAATGGGGGAAAAAGGAGGGAGAGTGGGACCTGGATGAGACAAGAGAGGAGGGCTAATATCGGGATGTAAAGTGAATAATTTTTTAAAAAAAAAATAAATTTAATTTAAAAGAAAAGAAAATAAACAGGTTGCAACCAGATGCTGCCACCTAGTGGAGGATGTACAAATACTGGGCACTTTCCTGGTCACAAGGGAGGGAAACACATGGGTCCTTATCTCCCTAATGACACTTACAGAAGCACTGTATTTAGTTAAAGATCATATGGGTAGATGTGAGCATGCCAGTTCACTTTTATGCCAACTTGAGACAAGCTGGGAAGAAGGAAATCCTAATAGAGGAAGCCTCTGTAGGCTTGGCCCGATTTCACATCCTGTGCTCTATAGCCCTACCTAGCTGCCTGCCTCAAAGCTCCTTTCTCTTCCAAGGCCCTTTTCTAGTTCTGTGATCGCCACATACTCTCTCTCCCACATAAAAACACACATCTGAGAATCTACGGTCGGCATATGAGAGCGAACTCATACTCTTTGTCCCTCTGAAGCTGGGATGCCTTATTGGAAATCACTTATTGTTCTCCAAACTTCATTTTTACTGCTGAATAAAACTCTATTGTGTGTACATTGTACATTTATTATCCGCCCACCTTTTGATGGACAGCTAGACTGCTTTCATTCCCTTGCCATTGTGACTAGAGCCTCAGCAAACATTAGTGTGTATAATACTTATGTTTACGTAAGTCTACGTAAACACATAAGCATTTCTATGGTAGGATATTCAGTCTTTGGGTAGATGCCCATGAATGGTGTCACTGGGCTGTAGGGTAGTTCTAGTTTTGGTTTTTGAGGGATTTCCACTCTGATTTCGGGGTGTCTTCAACAGTTTAAACTCCAGCCAGTAGTCGGAAACAGTCCCTCTCTGCCCCCATCCTCACCAGCACTTGCTGCCATTTGTTTTCTCAAGGACAGCTAATTCGACTTGGAGGAGGCAAGATGCCTAAGTTGTTTTAATGTGTACCTCTTTGATGATGAAGGATGTTAAACACTTTTAAAAATATTTACTGGTCTTTCGTATTTCTCCTTCTGAGAACTATCTATTCTCATTAAACTGCATCTCCCATTCTGTAGAATAGCTGCTCAATTTGTGGTTTCTTCTGTTGTGCTGAAAGATTTTTAACTTATACACATGCTTTTTATTGTGCATGTGCATATGTGTGGTACATGGAGGTCAGAGCGTCAGTTCTTCCAGCATGTGGGGTCTAGAGACTGAACTAGGCTCAGATGCCAAGCGCCTCTACTTGCTAAGTCTTCTTGTTGGCCCATCAAGCACTTTGAATTTCTCAAATCCCATTTGTCAATTCTTGGAGCTAATTTCTGTGCTGCCAGGGTTCCATTCAGAACATTCCTTTCTAAACCTATGTTCGAAAGTGTTGTCCTGACAGTTACAGTGTTCTGGGTTTTAAATTAGGGTCTTCGATCTGCTTTGACTTGATTCTTGTTGGGTGAGAGAGATGGCGGCAGCTTCATTCTTCCACAGATGGCTATCAAAACGGTTTCGCCAGGACCTTTTATTTAATAGGCTGTATTTTTCCAGCATATGTCTTATCACTTTAATTAAAACCAGTACAGACTTGGAGAAGTCCACTTACAAAGAAGTCCTTCAATACAGAACGGGCAATGCACACGGACTCTAGGAGAAAATTTTAGTACACCATAAACCCTAATGGCTCAAGTTCTGAGCACTCCGTGCTGGGCCCAGAGGAAACAAGCGTGAAGAAGCATTGCCCCTCAAACAACACCTTCACTCAGAACTCCACACTGAATCATGCATTTGCGGTTCTGAAATGTTAGACGTCCCCTTTGTAAAGGACAAAAGAAACCCAGCATTCTCAGAGAACTCGGAGAATCTCTTAGAGCATCCTGCTCACACAAAACTGGAATAGCACCTATGCGACATAGGGGAGGGAGTTCTGAGACTATCCTACTGCAAAGGAAGGGAGGGAAAGATGGAGGAAAACAAAGAGGAGAAGAAGAAGAAGAAGAAGAAGAAGAAGAAGAAGAAGAAGAAGAAG